AAATAAGCATAAAAATGTTAAAATAAGCACTTTCCTGCAAAATTTATCAAATATGCAAAAATATGCACATTCAAATTTTAGATCTGATATCGTGGCACCGAKAAATAAATTKMTTTCGCACTCTGCTATATTTAACAATAATTAAACAAAGTATGCAAATGCTATAAGTCCCTAAGCCTAGTTATATATGTCCAAATCTCCGATAAAATTWWTTTTATTTTATTTGGTAAATGGACATTACATTTATTTATTTTTTAACATTGATTTTTATTACCTATGTCAAGTAGGTATAGATATCGATATAAGAATTTTGTATTATAATAATTTGTTTTAAACATTACTTATTATGATTTTTTATTAATTTAAAAGCAAATTGCATTATTTTTTATGAYCAAAAATATATATCGATAATTTATTCATCTGTAATATTGTCGATAAAGCTGGACTCAGCTCATTGATGGCGGCTAAATTTAAGTTTGTTATCATAATGATTGGTGTAATAATACGAGAAAATAATAAATTTTAAAAAAAATTGGCATTTTGAATGTGATAACGTCGCATAAAATATCGTATGCTCAATCGTGTTGCTAAAAAGGTATATGCTCCAAACTCAATCGTATACTACCGGAATCTACAACTTAATTTTAAACTTATTATTATAATAAATTATACTATATATTTAATGATTTATGTTTAATATTCTATATTTATTAAACTTATYGGAAAAGCAAATATCTACAGAGGGAGCTTTTGCATAMCCCAATGACGTCATTTCAGTTTTTAATAGATGGACAAAATTTTTGATTACATATTAATATAATATAATATTTCTTTTCTTTCATAAAACTCATGTTCGTCTATATATAAATATATTCCATGTATATTAGATAATGAGCAATAATTACCAATTTTGTTTATCACTGCATGGCAACAATTCTTTAATACAATAGTACAAAATACAAAATTTTCTCAAAATATTAGAAAAATTGATATGTTTTCACGCTAATTAAATATAACTATGCYATGGTTTAAACCATTAAATGAAAAACAACCAAGTATCGACCCATCGGGCTACTTTTAAATCAGACAGGGGCAAATACCTATCTTGCGACCCCCCCACCATAGAAAATGACGGCACTGAGTATACCCTGTTCACCAGTTTCTCCTCTAGCTATCTATGAATACATTAAGAATATTATCGATTGATTTTAATTGTTAATACTTATATAGATACGACTTACTTGGGATATAACAATATAGTTAGGACTCGATGTATATGTATCGATATATATTACAGGATATCCTGCTTGATCAGTCCACGACCTCATAAACTCTTCGACAGTAATTGTATTTCCTAATATTCCTGATTTATAATTCGCGTCAAATATCACATTATCAAATGAATTCCATAGATTTTTTGGTTCTACAGCTTTATACCTAAAATTAAAAAATATYAGTCATTTAATTTTTAAAGAAAAAATAGTTAATAAGTTAATATTATTAATTATTATCATATATTGTTTGATAAATCATTAGGTTAGGTAGGTATAATCTAACCAATTTATATTTATAATTATTCTATAATATACACAAGGCCGGCCGTAGGTTTTTTGCCGCCCTAGGCAAATCTAATTTACGCTGCCCTATGCAATAGTTAATTTTTGTAGAGGAGGGGGTTGAATAAAATAAGGGCATTCATTTTTATCTATGAACCATTGTTTGGTATATTTTGAACAATGAACATACAATTCAGTATACTATATTATATTATACAGGGTATCCCGCGAGGATTTACCCATTGTGATATCTCACAAAATAATGGAGATATTAAAATTCTGGTTTTATAATAAGAACTACAATTATATCATATTTTAATTGATTTTAATGTTTTGGTAAAAAAGTTAAAAAATATATTTTTTTATTTTATTATTTCCAAAAAAAATGAAGGATAGCCATTTTGTAGARTTTATTTTTATGAAGATATTGACGTTTCAAAATTTTATTTTCATTAATTTCCTGATTTTTAATATTTTTTTTAGTTTCGAGAAAAATTGTGAATTATTTACACCGTAATGTAAAAACATGTGACCCGCCACGCCGCGCGCATTCCCATACGGACGGCCGAATACCTTCCATGTTCCTAATAGTTATAAATTATAATCATATTTTATTTCTTCAAAACTAGAAAAAATATTAAAAATCGGGAAACTAATGAAAATAAAATTTTGAAACGTTAATATTTTCAGGAAAATAAACCCTACAAAATGGCTAACTTTAATATTTTTGGAAATAATTAAATAAAAAAATATATTTTTTACATTTTTTACAAAAACATTAAAATAAATTAAAAACTGAAATAATTGTAGTTCTTATCCCTCTGAATCTCATTATAAAACCAGAATTTTAATATCTTCATTATTTCGTGAGATATCACAATGGGTAAATCCTCGCGGGACACCCTGTATATATTATAATAAAATCACTTTGGTTCATTTGAAATTTGCCGCCCCCACACTAGTGCCGCCCTAGGCGGCTGCCTATTTTGCTACCACATTGAGCCGGCCCTGAATATACAATATATATTTAAACTATATTGGGAACAGTTTATTGGGGGATAGGTTGGTCCACATAGACATATAATAAATATTTTAAAACCTTAATGATCTTTTAGTAGGCACGTGTATTAATTACATATTTATATCTCAAGATATTACATGTAAAATTTTTATATTTTCAATAACCTTTTAATATTATTGGTTATATTTACCTACCTATAACCTATTACATTTCAATATACATAGATACAGTGCCGGATTAAGAGATTTGGCACCCCTAGGCCCATGTAAAAATAGCGCTCTTAAAAATAAATATATGTTTATCAACAAGTAACAAGGATATTTAGGATATTTAATATACTTAAAAAAAACTTCTTATATAACTTGTTTGCATAATTTTTTTTTAATATGTTTTAATTAAATTAATAATTATATAAAATTCAGAAAAACAATTGGTAATTAGATATTTAGAATTTTATTTWAAAAAAAAATTATCAATAACAAAAAATTAAAAAAGTTGATATCTTTCTGGACTTGCTGGTATCAAATTCAGTTATTGCAAGGCTGGGCATTAACGAGTTAAAAAGTTAAAGTTAAGTTAAAAAGTTACTTTTAACTAAGTTATTTAACGAGTTACTTTTATTTTCAAAAGTAACTTCCAGCTTAACGAGTTTCTTTTTTTTTTT